TGCACCAACTCCTGCAGGGAGTTGGCACCTCTGGGGTAGTGCATGGCCAGATGAGCTCTAGGGGCTATCTTTGCAGGGTTACAGGGATAAACTATCCTTTCATTCATAAAAGACAGATTAAAAAAACAGGTAACATTCCACATGGATGAATAATTTCCCCTGATCCCTATATGTCTGCCACATGAGTGTGGTTACCTACCTTACAAACAACTAACAAAACTGGTTAGAGGCTTACAGAGCTCCAAAAATTAACTTTGGATGAAACAAAATTGAAGTAAGCACAAAAAGGACCTAATGCACTTAGGCTATATTTAAAAAAAAAATGTAAAAATGGACTAGTTAAGTGTTGAATCATAATTTTCTTTTAAACCATATGCACCCCAATACAGTGCTGCAACTGAGAAATATCCATGGCAACCTGAAAACACTCATAGGGGCTCTATTTAATAGCTTTGTAACACTTAATGTTCGAAATTATAGAGAAGGTCAATGTTTAAAAATATAAGGAAGTTCAACAGATAAAACCCAAACAAAAGAATATCCTAAACTAACCTAAATGTCCACAGCCCCTTCTAACAGCCCAATAGTTTAAATGTTTTTTATCAATCCAATTAATTAGTATTTCACATACTTTCTCTTCAAAGCAATTGATCGTAACACAGTGCCTCTGCCAGTACTTTATAATGTGTGAAAGCAGCAGCCTGGGCTCTATTTCATCTCTAATTCAACTCTTTTCTGAATGAGCAGCTGACACAAGGAAGGCTTACTGTCAGTATCTAGGAGACATTTTGACTTTGGAAACCATTTTCTCTCTGCCAGACACTTGGTTCCAGCTGGCTGAGAAATGCTTTGATTGTCCTGTCTTGCAGCCAGGACAGGGGTCTGCCAAGCTGGACAGTGCCTGTGCCGAGGTCCTGACCAGGCAGGGGACATTTACCAGTCCCTCACAGCTGCTCTGTACCTTCCCCTGCCTCCTGACCAGAGCAGCCCTGCTCTTCACATGTGTGCACGTAAGGAACCTTGTGTAGATGCTCAAGCTGGATCTGGATTCCAGGGTAGCTGCATTTGCAGTGTGACCCATGGCTACAGTTCCACACATCCAAATCTACATGCCTGTCAGGGCATGCTACAGATACCTTCTGCCAGTGCAAGCAGGCATCCTTCCCAAGAAAACCAGGATGTAGGATGAAAGGAGCTGGTGCACTGCAGTGTCTCACCCAGCTGGGCAACAGCACAGCTGGAGCACACACCCAGACCCAGAGAGGGTCCTGCAGTTTAGGCACAAGAAATGAAACCCCATCCCTTCCAGTGGCTTTTAGCATTTACCTACCTGTCTTTCTTTAGGTGTACCTCTTGTCCTTTGTAGTACACGGGGTCCTCATCTGGAAATTCTCACCCCTCCACAGCTGAGCACTGCTTCTGACTTCCCAACTCCCAGTGGGTTCACCACTGCTACATCAACTGTCCCAGCTACTCAAACCACCTCCTTTCTCCTGCTCAAAGCTTGCTTGTTCTGCATGTAGAGCTCTAAGCCGGTTTTTGGTACTCTCTACAAAATCCTTACTTGCTGTTCTGCTTTACCCAGGTTTCCAAACTTCATGCTCCACACAAGGAACAAGATTGCTCTCCTCCACACCATTAGCCTTAAACCTTAAAGATTACCCTCATCCTGAATGGGGAGGGCTGTGCTAAGGCCATCAGTCAAAGAGGGATGTCATACACCCCATTCCCTCAGCTTTCATTAGGAGCTGCACCCAGGTGCACCACAAGCTGCCTACAAGGCAGGTGCCCACAGTCATCATGGATCCTGTTCTTAAGCCACACGCACTTGGCAGTTCAGTCCTCAGAGGTTTGGTTCCTTCTGACATGTTCCCACAGGAATATCAATATTCCAAACAGCTGATTCCAGCCAAGACCAAACGTATGGCACACCCTCAGAACAGCTCAGATTTGTGTTCAGAAGATTTGTGTCAGAAACAGGCATTCTAGAAATGTGCCCACATAGAGTGCATGACTGACTTTTACCTCTTCTTACTCTACTACTCCATAACTGAAATGTAGGATAGACATTTGCATAAGTTAAACCAACAATTATTCTGATAATAACTGCAGTTTAAAAATCCTTAAACTTCACTGACATTGCTGGGGACCTTAGTGGAGCAAAGACAATGGCACTCAGCCAGCAGGAAGGCCAGCAACATTACCATGCTGAGATCAAAAGAGTTATTAACCCTGAGCCCTTGATCTGCTGAGTGCATTTTTGGCTATTTCAAAGCCCCACTGCAACTTCCTGGCGAAAAAAGCTCCACATTTGCTCAGAGCATCTTTTTTGTAGACGCAGCTGAGGAATGAAAAGGGTATTGGAACCCTGAAATCTACACCTGCCTCTTTGGAGAGACACATGGACATGACATATCTGAAACTCCATCACCCTCATGCTCTGGAAGCACTCAAATATGATTCCCTCTCCTGCTCCAAGCCCTGTTGCTTTCCTGCCTCCACTGGCTGCCTGTTTCTGCATATGAAGAGATCATCTGCACCCAGTTCACTGCTCAGAACCCCATCCAGACACATTGCAGGTGTACCATGCAAAGGAATTGTAGAAGATGAGGAGAGTCTTCTCTCCTTATGTCCACAAGGTAGACAGTAAAGAAGAAAAAAAGGGCCATGGCAGAAAAGGAAATATTGCGTAAGTAAAAGTATATTCTGTATTTTTCAAAAGCAGAGTCATTTTTCCAGACTAAAAGGGGGAAATACTGGAAGCCAGAGGTATTGTTACCACTACCCAAATGCAGCCACGGCTCTCAGCATGTCTGTAAATTTCCTTTTAAGCTCTTTGACATAACCATCCATAGTAACTTAAATGAAACATCTCAAGAATTTTTCTATTTGTAGATTTAAGTGATCATTAGGCTATTTTCCTCTTTCAGAAAACATCATATTTCCTTTAAGCTTGGCCATTTATCATCTCTTCTTCTTTTTCTGTAGGACAGCTATTCTCTTAAAGATGTGGTTTTCAGCTTCAGACAAAATGGATGATACGTCTGTTTGAAATAGGATTGTTTACTTTGTCAATGCCCCCGAGATCAATTTCATCTTTTTCCTACCTCCTCCTATAGAGAACATCTTGCCAAGTGCAGTATTCATCTCCCTGAATGAGCTATCGAGATCTATTTTTTTGACAGAAATCATGCTGCAACCCAAACTGGTCAGAATCTCTCACTATTTCAGAAGTGTGCATGGGTATGAATAATATATAATCTTATCTGGCACAATTTCAGCATTTCTCTTATAATTTCTCTTTCATGAAATCTATTTCTTTGAGAAAATTATACACTTGTAGTTTTAACACCAGAAATAGAGAGCAACACACGTTTCCCCTGGCTGGTTGCTCATACATGTCTGAACACACACTCACAGGCAAGAAATGCAGGAGCAACACTGCAACATCCCCATCGCACTGAATCCACCCTGAGCAGCTTCACTAATGAGACAACTCACACAGGCAAGATCTGCTCATAAGCTGCTGGAGAATGAGGTCTTAATTAGAGATTTATTTAATTCAGAGACAAGTACTTGTGTTGTATTAAGAGCAGCTTATTAACATTCATGCATGAGCATTCACTAAGTGTGAATAAATACAATTCAGTGCAAAAGCGTTTTTTTAAGCGCTGGAAGAGGAAGCACTCACCTAAACCATCACCTTGCTCAGGGCAGGAGGGGTTGGACACCAGGGAATGAAATGCTGTCCCAGGCATTGTGTTGGGTTCTCATACTTGTGCATTTCTCACTATCAATCATTCCCAAACCAACAGCACTGAGACTTCCCAAAGCTCCCGTTATTGTCTTGAATGTTCCTCGGCATTACAGCCAAATCTGAAGTGCAAATAAATCATCAGCAAAAATTTTAGACAAAAATTTTAAAAACTACATCTGTTGGAGGAGACAATCCTCTGCCTGCCACCCCTGCATGATGCTGATGACAAGTCTACGTTAATCACACAGATGATGAATTGATTCTTACGTCAACTCCTTTAAAAACAACATCCTTACAGGTGTAGCAGCTGGCGGGCTGATGTATTCCTGCTGGCATCTGCACATCTTGGGATGAGCCACTAGACAAAGGAGCATGCCGGCATTTTGAGGGATGCAACCATGACAGTCATGTTAAAATACGCCTCAGTCACCAACTTTTATTATTTGCCACTCACAAGATTCACAGGTTCAGTCTCTGGTACAGTGTGCACTGGGAAAAACACCCCTCAATTACCGGGGATCCACCGGGAATGGACAGCGGCTCTCCATCCACTCCCGCGCACACCCTTCCTCCCTACCCACGCAGCGGCTGTGCTGCCCTCTACTCCCAGCATCTTCCCCAGCACCCACCACCCTTCCAACCCAATGCTTTTCCTACTTTTCCCTACCAATGGCCCTCTTTTTTAAGCTCGGTCTCATTTTATGACTACCGGCAACTGTCTGAGGCCAGAAAGGTCTTTCTGATGCTGGCAAAAAAAACAAAAAAACAAAAAAAAAAAAAACCTCACTGCATCCATTCTGAAAGGCTTTTGTTTTAGGATTTACTCTGCCCTCATTTAAACGGAATCCCATTATTCCCGTCTCCAAAAGCAGCATGGTGTACGGCGCTAAGAACCGCTGGGAACAATCAGCCCGAGAGCTGATGGTGTATAAATCAGAGTGGACACAGCATCCGGCAGAACGGACGCCTTCTCCCGGAGCGCTGCCCTTCATTCACACAGAGGAGCTATTTGCAAATAACCCGTGTTTCCCATCGATCAGCAGCCGGAGCGTGTTTCACCGCTGGAAACGCTCCCGGTTCTACCCTCCACAGGCACTCGCATCGCTCCGCCAGCGGTCCCCAGCACCGCTCGCACGGCCGGAGCCCCGGCGGGCCGGGGATGGCGCCGGCACACCGCCCTCCCCTCGCCTGCCCACAGCGCACGGACCCGCGACCGGGGAACCACCGCCCCCGGGCCCCGTACCCGCGTCCTCCTCGTCGAAGCTGTTCATGCAGGGGAAGTAGATGGCCAGGGCCTCGAAGGAGGCGGAGAGGCTGAGGCGGCTCTGCGACCGCTCCATGAAGAGCCCGGCTCCGGGGGCGCCGCCGGGGGTCTCGCCCGCGGCCGCGGGCGGCTTGGCGAGCTTGGCCGCCCCATTCTTCACTCGGAGCACGGCCCGCGGCGTCTTGGCGGCGGCGGGGCCGCGCTGAGGCGGCGGGGAGACGAGAGGCGAGGCGAGGCGGGCGGGAGCGCGGAGCGGCGCGGAGCGGAGCGCAGCCACCTGCTGCTGCCGCCCGGCCCTGCGCGCCGCCCGCCCCGCCCCGCCCGCCGCGCCCGCCCCGCCCGCCGCGCCCGCCCCGCCCCGCCCGCCGCCAATCGCGGCCCGGGGGCGGCACCGAGCGGCCGCGGCGGCGCCGCCCCCGCCCCGGGCGGCCCCGGCTCCGCGCTGCCCCGGCTCCGCGCTGCCCTGCCCTGCCCCGGCTCCGCGCTGCCCCCGGCTCCGCGCTGCCCTGCCCCGCCCCGGGCGGCCCCGGCTCCGCGCTGCCCCTGGCTCCGCGCTGCCCTGCCCTGCCCCGGCTCCGCGCTGCCCCGGCTCCGCGCTGCCCCCGCCCCGGGCGGCCCCGGCTCCGCTCTGCCCCTGGCTCCGCGCTGCCCTGCCCCGGCTCCGCGTTGCTCCCGCCCGCCGCGGCTCCGGCTCCGCGCTGCCCCCGGCTCCGTGCTGCCCTGCCCTGCCCCGGCCCCGCGCTGCTCTGCCCCGGGCCGGAAAAGATCCTTCGCATCCCGAGCATAGGGATAACGCAGGTGTAGCTTTGCTTGCGAATTGATCTGAGGAAGTGAAATTAACCGAGGAGGGGATGCAGGAGGAAGAGCGTGGTCTTGGCTTTGATTTCGCGGAGTGCAACGGCAGAAAACAACCTTGAAGCTTTCAGGAGTAGAACCTTGAAGCTGTCTTCCGAGAGAGAGGGGATGTTAAGTGACACCGGTGTGAATGGAGGAGCAGCCCGGCTCCCAGCCTTCTCCCAAGTACCTCTAGACACACAAAAAAACCCTTCCCAATATACAAAAGTCAGTATTTGGATGTATTCAAGCTCTCAGGCAGAAAGCACATAAACTGGGAAGTTTTCCTTGGTGTGTTACATCAAATAGGAAGGCTGGTGCCTGTTGAGGCTCAGCATTAAGCCCATTCTGCAGCACACCGTGGGATAGAAAATACTGTGTTCTGTGAAATGAGCAAATTTTAAATCCTTCCCCGGATCTCATTTTTTTCCGACAAGCTTTATGGAGAATTAGTGGCTCAAGACTGCCAGCTGTCCACAGGTGCTGCCTGTGACAGAGACATCACAGCATCTCCCAGTCCTGCTTTGGGGAAGGAAACACAGTATAGCCTTATTTATTCAGTGCAACAAAACCCTGGGATGGTATGAGACAGAGTGTTTTGCACTAATGATATGGTCTGCACAGAAAGGTTGCTGTTCCCTCAGGGAACAAAGGAAGATGTTCCCTGTGCTTGGTCTGTCCCCCCCATCCTGATGACTAAATGTCATCCCACTGAAATGACAGGCCTACTTGTGCTAATCCAAAAATGCACGTTAAGAGTCCAATATCTCCCTTAGGAAAAGTGTGGCTAAACAGCCTGTATTCTCCATTCTCAAACAGTTAATACATCAATCCATTAAAAGTTTTCTATCTACTGAAAGCCCTACCAGAGCTGTATTGTATTTGTGGCTGCCAGTGCCAAGAAGCAGCAAGAGCAGGGCTGCTCCCAGGGAAGGGGTGCCAGGAGCAGCCTCTGCACAGGGCAGGGACATCCCTATGACCAGGCACAGTCCCCTGCCATGGCAGCTAGAGCAGGAGGTGATGGCAGTGACCCCTACCAACACAACAGCTCCAAAGCCATCCATGGAAAGCCAAACATCAGTTCAGGAACAGGTCTGTAGGTGAGACAGATTCACCTACAGCCCAGGCAAGAGCTAGAAGCCACCCAGGCTTGGAGGTTAAATGGAGCTCCTGACAGAGAGGGTAAATGTGAGGCCAAAAGGGAAGTTTTGGGGGCAATTATGGCCATCTAGCTCACTCAACCCTGACATCCAGGTTCTTCATTACTGGTAGTGAATCCAAAATGGCAGAGGTCATATGAATATCAGATGGCAAGATGAGTTTGCAGGACTTCCTAAAAGAAAATATGTTATTTAATTCAAAAACTAATCAAAACTTGCTCTGGAGTTAGTGAGTTATATTAATTACTTCATCAAAGCTAGGCAAGGCAAGCAGTAAAGCAGAAGGAACAGAATGAACTTATTACAGACAATGATATCTCCAGGTCTGAGTTTTGAAAGGCAGGGGAATCAGTGAGGAATGTATTACCATATGTTTAAGAAGATATTTCAATAGCACCAATCAAGACATTAACAGCAGCTACAGGCACAAATTTAGGTGCATTAAAACTGTTAAGACAGTTCCTGTCTACCAGTCCTGCCAGCACATTTGATCAGAGGAGCAAGAGGCATCTGTGAATCAAAATTTTCTTCCAGGCTGCCAGGCACAGAAGTTATCTAAAAGTGCTGACAATTGCTTTTTTTTTTTTTTTCATTTAAAGACTGCAATAAAAAATTTAAATGAGGAATAGAAGTTTAATCTCAGCTTTATGTTGTGGCCATTGCTCATTTCACTACATCTTGAAAGCATAGTGATGGTAGACACAGGTCTTTAGGGAATAAGTCTCTGTCTCCAATACTGTTTTCTTCACCAGCATACTAGGACTGAAAACCCTTCTGCTTTTAGTGCTTTGAAACTTCCTTTTGAGGTGCTGAGGAGGACCATCATCATCCCCACCTTTCTCCATGCTCATCCATCTGCCAGCTTCCTCCAGAGACACAGTCTGAACCCCTTGCACCTGCACAACTCAGCACCACTTGGTCACACTCTCTAAATGCTCCTTTTGTGCATTTTTTTTCCAGGCTGTCTTACACCTCCCTCTTTACTATATTTGTGGGACCAGCCATGTTCAAGTCCTTCCCTGCTCCCATCTGCCACAGAGTGGCTTGGGCTGGATGCTTTAAACACCATCCCTTAGCTTTGGTGTCATCTGCTTCTCATTTGACTGCTACATTTTGCTCCTCAGGGCCAAGACAAATATATGTCCTGTAGGGCTCTTTGATTACTGGTTGGGCCAAAACATCCTAAACCAAAACCATCTGCCTTAAAGTGAGACAAAATACATTGACAGCTGGAAATCGGATGGATAGTTAAAGGTGTATTGCCCTCCGGATGCCTGGATGAAACTATTTGTTTTGGCTTCCTGTTTAAGGGAAATAGGGATTTGCAATGAAGCTGGAAATTGTTAATCTCTAAGAGTTCTCTTCATTGATCAACATGGACAGAAAGATCCTTGGGAGGGACTTGCAGAAGTGAGGATAAACAGGGAGGAAGATTTCTGTGATGTTGTAAATAAGCTGAGAGTGCAGCCGAGAACAAATAAACTAAGATTTACTACCTCCAGAACAGCACGTCTGTGGCTGCCCTAGTGGAAGTGGTTAATTGATTGTTTCCTCAGTGAAGCAGGTTCTGACTGATTGAACCATGGAAAGCTCTGATAGATTTTTCCTGCTGGCTCTTTCTCTACCCACTAGTCACGTAGCTTATATTTTTGCCTTTACTCTTAGGTGTCTGGGTCAGTCTAGGAAGTTCATTTTTATACTGGAGCAAGAGGATATGCTGCCCTCTCCCTCTTGTACTCCCTATGGTTCTGTGTATGCCTGTTTGGAAATAAAACCAAACTCTCTGATTTGTGTATGTTTGCTCTTTCTGCTCTCTCTGCCCACTGCTTGCTCAAAAAATAGTCCACATGCTGGGAGCTCAAATGCAGCAGAGAAACAAGCCCTGCTAGTGAAAACACATCTCATACATAAATCTGCTCAGAGTAAATACAGCATTCCTAAGGGTGAGGAGGGTTGGGCTCCTCCCTGTCTCGTGCTACCCCTTCCCTGCCCTGAGCTGATGCTGAAGCCAGGCAGCTCATGGTTGGCAGCACACTATGTTCTCCAGCACCCAAAAACAAATGCAGACTTGACCAACCCTGCTCTTCAGGGCTCTAATTGATTCCACTTAGAAGTTCCTCTTGGCCTTTCTGGGCAGGCTGGTATGGCAGCAGTTCTCTGGCCACAGAGAGCAGCACACAACTTTCCTAGGCATTGTCCTGCGGAAGGCTGTGGGAAGATCAGAGAAAAGAATGAGAAAAAATTCTTATCTCCACTTGCTGCACCTGTTGTTTGGAACATGTGGAATGTGTTATGGAGATTTGTTTACCAAAGGGTGGTTTCTTAATTAGCCAGTGGTGATGGTGTTTGGATTGAAGGACCAGTTGGGTTCACCTGTGTGGTGACTGTCTGCCAGGCGATGGGTTTTTTAATAAGTATAGTGTAATAAAGTGATTGATCAGCCTTCTGAGAAGCATGGAGTCAATGCTAATTATTACCTGGCTGGGAGTGTGCAGTGATGGGCAGGAGGTGAGATGTGCTGAACATGGATACACAGACCCAGGGACTAAACGCCAGAGAATGGCCTGTGGTGCCATGGCATGGCATCAGTCCTGGGTGATGCTCAGAGGTACTGGCTCACATGCCTAACACACCAAGTACCACAGCTTCACTGGGCTTGGTTGTTGTGCACTTACATAACAATACACATTTTAATTTATTTATTCTTTCCTGCTATTTCTGTAGATGGAATACTACAGGCTGACGCCTCAAAGAACCAGGCAAAGTATAAATATAGGGTGAAAACCTTTCTTTTCCCCAAGTGCTCATTGTCCAAGAAGCCAAGACAAAGAACAGAAGTCAAAGAACAGAAGTGAAAGTATAATTTTTTTAATACAAGTTCAGGGTCCAAATCATGTGAGTTTTGGTTGTCTTGCCCAACCCTTTATAAGGAAAATCTCTGTTGGAGCTAGGAACTGACTGTAGATTTCCTGCCATAATCTCAAAACTACCTTCTGCTTTTCACTAATAGAAGAAATGTTCTAACCTTAGCAAAATGAAATTATAAGCCAGACAGGTTTTTACAACATCCTTTGTTGGCTGGGATCCAGGCAAGCCAGGAGTGCTCTGGTTTGTGCACAGCTGAACCACACATAATGCCCTAAAGAGCAAGCCAGGCTGCTACCTGTGCAGAACCTTTCACAAGGCTCTGCACCTACTTCAACCTGACACCCCATCTAAAAGCAGAGATCCTGTTGTTTTAGTCACATC